CGGCTCCTCTGGGAGCCATCAGCTACAGGTGCACTTTTACAACCAGGAGTCCCAAGAAGTGCTGGGAGGGGCAGGACCTGGCTCTTCCCCCACAGCAAGGAGAGAGGCTGTGTGTCCATGGGGAGGGAGGAAGGAGGAGAAGAAAGGCCACCCTTGTTGTTGGGAGCCCAGAGAGCAGAACTGAGCCCAGGTCCAAGGTGATGGACCAGCTGAGCCCCGTCACTGCTCCCTACCCCCTGCCAGCCAGCCCAGGCGCCCCGGCAGCACACTGGGCCCACCGTGTGCCACACTGGCAGAGATCCAGAAGGGGAAGGGGGAGCCCAGCAGAGCCCAGCTCCTCTCCCCAGCCAGCCCAGGCCACGGCCCGTGTTCATGGGCAGCCCTCCCCGCCACGGGACGCTCACATGAACTGCGACAGGTTGGGCACTTTGATGTTGATGTCTCCGATGTTGATGTTGCGAGGGATCTCTGGCAGGTTGATGTTCTTCACAGCCGAGACCGCACGAGAAGGAGCAGCTGAGAGGCCTCCCTGCTGACGGGAGGGACCAGTGACTGCCGGTCCCTTGCCCCCACAGTCCCCCTGCGAGGGGCTTCACGCTGCTCCTGGCTCAGCCCCATGCTTTGCCATAGGAGCATCCCCAAACTGAGCCTTGCCCCATGCTGCCCTGCCTCCCCCAAGCTCAGGGCCCGGCCACGTCCCCCCACACGTGGCTCAACAGGGGCGTACCCAGGAGCAGCCCCCATGCCCGCTTCCCACCCCGCTGACGGACACGGTCCTGTTAATAGCACAGGCTCGGGAGCGGCAGGGGCAGCTCAGTGCTTCCCCGTGACCAGAGTACAGCCGCATGTTCACAATGACAGTGCAAACAGAGGCAATAAACTTCACCACCACAGGTTATTAACCGTGATGGGAACAGCCGTTTGCATGCTCAGGCTATGACCTACGCTCCTAGACAGCACGGAGCGCAGCTGGGGAGGGATGCCCCCGGCCCTCTCCGCGAAGACTCAGACAGGCAGACACCGGGGACACCCCGTATGCGCCAGCTCCAGACCCCACAGGCTGGCCCCCATCAGCCTCCCGCGGGGGAGAGCATCAGCCCCCCGCGGGGGAGAGCCGCAGCATCGCCACTCACCTCCGCCTTCTCCAGCTTGCTCTGGGCCTCCACCTGTGCCACGATCTCGTTCATGTTGGTCTCCAGCACCATGCCGCCTATCACCACCTCCTGCAAGATGTGGTGAACCTGTGAGTGGAGAGAAGGGAAGGGAAGGCTGTGAAGCCAGCCCAGCCCACAGACTGGCCAGGAGTGGCAGCGGCCACAGTGCCTCGCAGGCTGGTGTGGAAGTGTGTCAGGAGCTGGCATTTCCCCAAGAGATGCAAATCCAGCCCCATCCTCCCCTCAGCCCACACAGCCCCGGCAGCCCGGAGAGCCAGAGGGCAGCCATGGTCCTCAGCACAGGGCAGCCCAATTTACTGCTTGGGCCTCTGGTCTAGAGGACCCCTACCACAGGGGCCAGAGCAAATGTCGCCCACCGGACCACCAGGCACAGGCAGCCCCCAGAGACGCTAGGTCTGACCCGGCCTGCTGGCACACCCCAGCTGCTCCATCTCTGACACCTCATCTGAAGTTTAATCCCTCCCTGGGCCAGCACCCGGGTCACACCTGGGAACAGCTCCCTGCCTAGAAAGCGTACTGGAGAGGAGCGCACAGGGCAGCAGAGACCCCAGGGCCTCCTGGAGCCACCAGGCAGGACACTTCTTCCCAGAGCCGGTTTCTTCTACCCAGAAAGCCAGGCCAGAGCCCAGCTTCTTTGCTTTCTCTTAGGAAAGACAAGACTGTGACACAGGCACAGAAAAAACCACAAAACCGCTAATAGAGTCTGCTCCCTTCCCCAGAGTCCACCCAGGTCCAGGCATGACAGAGCAGTCTCAAGGCAGTGAGCTGCTCCCTCCTGCCAGCCCCCACTGGGGAGGGCTGGCGATACCCCGCAGCCACAGGAGAAAGAGCCCATCGTGGTTTGCAATCCAAGAAAACTCAGCCCCAGGGCAGCAGCTCCAGGCGGCTGCAACACACCTTTGGCTCTGCATGGCGCAGGCTTCCTTGCTAAGTCAGCAGCTCCCAACAACCACCCGGCACAGATGATGAATTTATGGGTCTCTGGTTACTTCCATGAAATAGGCTATTACTGGAAGATGGTTAAGTTATACCATTTTATAGTTTCAGAAGGGCAGGTTGCACTTGCAAGCACTGTGTGGCAAATACTGCCAGGGAAACGCTGTGAAAAATAAAGCTAGAAAACCTGCTAGAAGGGGGAAACCCAGCTTTGTACAAATGGTGAGCCTGAGGCCCCGTAGGTCCCGTCCTGCTCAGACGGCACGAGAAGCAGCAAGGTGTGCGGGATCAGCACTGCACAGGGCAAGCCATGGGTGATACAGCACCTTCCTGGGACACCCGCAGCACAGGCACCGCTATCCTGCAGCACAACCTCAGCTCAGCCCAGCCATGGCAAACACCGCTCCAGACAGCGCTAGCTCCCCGCAACAGGAGAGCATCTGGGTTGCAGGAAATGTTGTTCCTTCAAGATCTGGCTTCAGCCCAAGTTGGACCAAAACCAACAGGGCAGAAATCCCAAGCAAGCTTTGTTTTCCAAACCAAAACACAGCACTTCCCTAACAAACCGTGTCCTCTCCGGGACCTCACAGCTGCTGAGCGAAAGTCACGTTCCCCTACCAAGGTACGAAGCACAACCAGGGGCTGGGCAACAGCCTCCTCGGAGCCTCCCCACGGCTTCATGGCTCCAACCTCCCCTTGCGAAAGAGAGATCCCAGCAGCTCTGAGCTTGCTGCTTCCAAAGCCAACAGCCTAAAAGCACTGGAGTCACTGGTGCTAGGGAACCACAGACCCAACAACCCCATCCAGCTGCCCGCTGCAAGAGCAGGGACCCAAAACCTGCAGCAGCTCTCACTTCACAGACCCTGTGCTGCATACAAAGTGTAAGGTGTACCTTAAGGCAATAATAGAAAATCACAGGACCCAGACAAGACTGCACCCAAATCCCAGCCACAACCTGCTGGGCTGGGGCTGTTCACAGCCAAAGCCTCTGCTTGACACATCAGCACTTTCCCGCTGACGTCGGCCTCATTTCTCCAGCTCCTAGTGGGGAACTCGCAAACTCTGCAATCCATCTGCCACAGCGGAGGGTAGCACCGTGCCCTGCGCGGCTCCTGACAAACTGAAGCCCTGGACGCAGGGCTCCGCGGGAGCGCTGGGGCAGCATCACAGCTGCAGAAAGCCCTGCCCGGGCAGCCGAGGGGCAAGACCCAGGGACCAGCAGGACACACCTGCGTATTCCCAGCACCCCTCACACCACCCGCCTGTAACCAAGCTCTGGGAAGCACAGGCACTCAGCACAAACACGTCTGAGAAATAAATATGTGCCAAATATAGAGAGCAAGATGAGAGGACCAAGCGATAGTGGCCAAGGACTGAAGTCAAGGCTGGGAAGTGGCAGGAGCACAGGACGGGAAGTAAACAAGCCTGGCTGGTAGGAGAGCCTGGGGGTGACTGAGCCCAGGGCCTCCTCTATCAGAAACACTCCCGATTCCCATCTCCTTGGAACCCTTCGCTTGGCAGGAGAGTTCAGAGGAAGGGCAGTCTGTGCTACTGCTGGCAAAACAGAGAGGCAACAGGGTAATCTCTTCTGCCTGTGGGCTGTGGATGGAGCGTAAAGCTGCCAGGTCTTGGTCATGCCACAAAGTAAGTAACCAGAGCACATCCTCACCCAGACGTGGCCAGCGGTGATCTGGACCATCACGTCTCCCGCAGGGACTCCTCCATCCTTCTGACTTCCTCCTTCCTCTCCTTTTGCGCGCTCTGGTAAGAATGCTTTTCCTGACACGATAACCAACCTTGTAACAGTTCTAAAACTCTACAGCTGGGCAAATTATCAAAACAAAGTCTTGCCCCACCAGTTGCTAGTATATTCAGCTGATCCAGATCACCTTCTAAGAAGATTTGCTAACTCCATTTCTCTGCCAGAGTTCATAAGGTGTAATTGTAAACAGAAAGGGAATATTTTACAACCTTATTGATTTTTTTCCACTCCTCTTTTTTGTTGGCATGTTTTGTCTTCAATAAAGCAAGAAAACCCTTATCAACAGCAGCATAAGTCCAGTGCACGTCAGCTAAGTCTCTCCTTTCTCTAAGCAGTCACAGCTATTTTCAGCCCCATCTATGACATGATCAAAGAGGATAGGTTTCCGCCCAGAAACTCTGTCCAGCTAAAGAGGAAGCATTAAAGGCTGTGGTTCAAACGAAAGTTTACCGAACACTTTGTATTCCACACATTCCCATTGTTCCTTACCCTTTTTTTTCCTGCAGCTCTAGTAAAATGTTAACAAGACTCCCAATGAGTCCCACAGTACAGTGAGAAGAGGCAGAACGCCCCTGCACAACGCCCAAGCCTGCCCAGCTCCATTGGCACCAGCCCGTGCAGAAGACAAGAGCGAAGCCTCAGTGTGGATCCCCGTCACTTGACTGCATGGTTACTCGGCATCAGTGGCAATCACCAGCCCGCGCAGCCCCGCCGCAGCAATGAGGCCGGTGACGGGGCGAGCACAGGGAGCCGAAAGCCAGCTCACCGACAGAGAACTTGGAACAGAGCCCAGCAACCTGTTCCTCTTGGAGAACACGATGTGAGCGGCTTGCAAAGACCCTAGGCTGACCCCTTCCCCAGTCAGCATTTCAATCTCTCCCCAAAAAGTGACCACTAACATACCAGTGGCCTCTCCTGAGAAGCTCCAGAACTCAAGACTGGGCTGGCTCCTGCCTGCGGGAGCACAGGCTCTAGGGAGGGCTGGGCTCCAGGGCAGCCAGCACTGGGAGCACTGGGAGGAATGACGGCACTGGCCCAGAGGAACACACAGAGCCTACAACCCACCTTGTCCATGTGAAAGATGAGGTCCAGCTCACAGACATTCTCAAAGCACTTGTCCAGTGTCTCCACAAACACCTGAGGTGGCAGGAGAGGAAGGTCAGTACAGGAGACCACCGCAAGATGCTTCCCGCACAGAGCCCCTGGGCCTGCAGGGGGTCATTGCGCCCCAGGGGGTCATCCTGAGCAGGGACAAAACCCTCTCAATAACTCCATCTCCCTCCGATGGCAGGAAAGTGCCTGTTCTCAGAGCAACCACAGGCAGATCCAGCCCAGGGGCTGACCAGGAGCCCCAGCACCCGTGGCAGCAGCCGGAGGCAGCGTGGAGGTGGGGGATTGCCACATGGGCACCGGTGCCAGTCCTTGATACACCACAGAAACCAGGTCAAGAAGCCCAGACCTGCCTAGGAGAGAGCTGGTCCTGGCAAAGGGCCGCGGCTGGAACGGGAGCCTGCCCTGCTGGGCCGGCTGCGGGGGCAGGGCCCACTTGCTGCTGCTTTGAGGCGCTGCTGGTGCTACCCACACCCCCGGAACCTTATTGCAAGGATCCGAGCAAGTCCCAGCTCAAGGGGCCTGGCACAATGTCAAGGGCACCAAAACACAGGACTCAGCCATTCTGGGGGGAATCCCAGGTGTCAGTGCCCTGAGCCACCGCAGCGCTGGGACAACTGCTGGTCACCGTGTCCGGGGCAGGGCTGCAGCCCACCAAAACAGCCTGAAAGGGGCCAAGTTATGGGAACTGCGTGATCACAGGGCGGGTGACCTGAGGAGGGCAGGCGGCCTCCTGCCAGCTCCTGTGCTGACGCTCTCACGCCTGCTGTTAGCTGGATTTAGCAAAGGTCCCTTTGTGAGTCCACAGTGTTTGAACAGAGTTTTTAAAATGTACTCGTAGTTTTGGGCCCCTCATTACAAGAAAGACACTGAGGTGCTAGAGCGTCTCCAGAGAAGGGCAAGGAAGCTGGTGAGGGGTCTGGAGCACAAGTGTGATGAGGAGCAGCTGAGGGAACTGGGGTTGTTCAGACTGGAGAAGACGAGGTTGAGGAGAGACCTTATCGCTCTCTACAGCTACCTGAAAGGGGGTTGTGGCGAGGTGGGGCTTGGTCTCTCTTCCCAAGTAACAAGTAATAGAACAAGAGGAAACAGCCTCAAGTTACTCCAGGGGAGGTTTAGATTGGATATTAGAAAAAATTTCTTCACTGAAATGGTTGTCAAGCACAAGGACAGACTGCTCAGGGAAGTGGTGGAGTCACCATCCCTGGAGGGATTTAAAAGACATACAGATGTGGTGCTGAGGGACACGGTTTGGCAGTGTTAGATTCACGGTTGGACTTGATGATCTCGAGGGTCTTTTCCAACCTAAATGATTCTATAATTCTATTTTTAAAATAAATTAATTCAGATTCACTTCACCCACTGCTTCCATGCAGAGGCACTGTGTATTGGCTAACACATGTGCAGCAACCCCTGCCCACTGTGGACCCTTGAACAGCTTCTGTCGCTTCCAGAAGGGCCAGCACACGTGCCACAGACACAAAGTGCACCTGAAAGGTGTCGGGGCCAGGCCACCCAGCAAGGACCACGGTTCGGGGGAAGGGACCTGCCAAC